ACACACACACACACACACACACACACACACACACACACACACAGCCCAATTAGAGAATGGACAGAGAAGAGGATAGCTCTGACATCTCCCACCTCCCATGGGTTATGTTTCTAATGCTGGGTTTACACATGAGCCCCATCTTTCTCACTCACATCCTCACCTGGTTCAGTTGGCTTCAATATCCTTCACATACCTCTCATTTAATAAAGTATTCCTCTCCTAAACCAACCTCAAACAGGGTGTTTCCACACAACTTGTGTGAGAAGATTCATCCATGACTTCGCTAGTTTAGAGAAAGTAAGTAGATCTGAAAGTAGTGAGCTCACCTGGGTCAAATGCATGAATGAAAGTGTGCTTAAACATATGAAAAAGCCAGGCACCTTTGCTCATGCCTGTCATTCTAGTTACTCAGGAGGCTGAGATCTGAGGATCAGGGTTCAGAGCGAGCCAGGGCAGAGGAGTTCATGAGACTCTTATCTCTAATAAACCACCAAAACAATTGGAAGTGGCACTTTGGCCCAAGCAGTAGAGCACTTGCCTTAGCTGAATAGTACAGCGGCAGCATTGAAGCCCAGATTTGAAGCCCCATTAGTGACAATATATATGAAAAAAACATTCAAATCAAGTTTAGGAAGTTATGAGCAGGGAAAAATAAATAAGCCTGGAAAGATTTTGGAGAAAAAGGAATGGAAGCTTCTGGGAATGACATGGAACAGAGGCCAAGACATGGACATCAGGTCAGACGTTTACTTACATTAGTTAAAGGGAAAAAATCAAAAGTGTCTTGAATCTCTTATTACTGATCTGACCAGCAGCTCCCCATTCCCAGAGCTTTGCTGACATGAAATAGCCCCAGAAGCAGACACTGCATGTCTATCTTAACAAAGGTTGCTATGAAGGAGGTCCAAACATTGGTCCTGTTTTGAAAAGTGTAAAGTAGAGAATGGATTGAAGATTCCCTGGCCTTTGCACTATGGATGGGCACAATGCTCTTTAGTGTCTTTGTATGGACTCTTGGTCATCCCAGTGACCCTGAGTAACAGTGATGAGTGGAGGAGTCACAGTTATGGTGGGGTGGTCGGGACATCTCTGGAAAGGTGAGTGGAATGAAAGACAGACAGAAAACTCTTTACCTACTGATAAAATAAAAATATTCATCAGGAAAATCTAAAATGAAGTAGAGCTGTTGTAATGAGGGCAGTGTAGAAGATGCAGAGCACATCAGTGATTGTGTCTAAACTTCTCCCACCTCTGACTGTAACCCAAAGTGAAAATTCACAATTTAAGGAAAGCCAAGAAATCACTTACTGAATGTTCTGTTGCTGCAGGGTAAGGTCATTCAAGCTTTGAATGAAGAATTCCCAAGAATAAAGGGGGTAAAATCCAGCAATGACCACATCTCCCCTGCTGGGTACCACAGATTTCCCTGTGCAAATCCATCTGCCGTCTTCAGAGGAACTGACCAGGTGTGGATGCTGGAGGAGAAGCAGTGTCAGAGCCACAGGGAACATTGTTGCTGCTTTGACCTGGAGCTGTGATTCTGGATGCAGACTGTGCCTGCAGCGTCAGGTGGGTGTCTAAATGGATCTTCAGTTTTTGTGGCTTCTTGTTACCTGGATGGCCTCCACTGTCCTAGAGGAATACATAGACCATTCTGCCCTCTGGCTCTGCATCTGGGGTCCGGCTTCAAGGTCAAAACAGAAGTTAGAAAACATGTGTACAATCTTCCTCTCCACTTCCTCAGCACCATGATTTCATCCAAGACTGTAGATAATGAAACTCCAGGGATGGATTCCTTTCTTGTTGAGTTGTTCACAAATTTGTTTGAAAGCAAAAAGTTGAACAGAAAAAAGCACACAAAATCAAGGGTCACTAGGGATGATGGGAATGGATGACACCAGAAGATGCCATGTGAAGGTCAAATGGTCATAGAGTGCCATGGCCAGAAAAGGCCCAGTCTGAGTTATCGGAGCACCGTCAAACATAAGGATGAGCAGGCTCACAATCCAGGGCCAAGTGAGCCACAAAAGTTTGCTGAAATGAACCATTCAGCTTTCCACACCAACTGCACATGCATAAGTATCCAGAAGTTGTTAATGCATTTATTTACTGCTGCTGGTGTTACCAACAGTCTCCCTGAATTCAACTATTACAGATCAATACTTCAAGGTCAATGCACATATCCAATTGGATATTTGCACTCTGAACCTTGAACTTGTTCAGTGCTTACATGTCCTTGCCCATCAGACTGTACCTATCAATATATTGTGGTGGTCCACTGTTAGACAGAGATGTTCTATGATCTGTGACTTTCTGTGAACATAGCAGGCTTGCCCACTGAGGATCCTTGTTGCTGTGAGTGTATGGATGGGTCTTGCTCTGCTGTGTCCCCATCATGTTCAGAGTGCTCTGGGAATTCTTGTTACCACTTGTACAACTGTGTGGTGCCATCTCTGTCCATGGCTATGTGTTTGTAGGTTCATGTCTGTGTTTTCAATTCTATTCCATTGGTCCTGAGGTCTGTTCTTGTGCCAGTACCAAGTTGTTTTGATATTATTACTTTGCAGTTGAGTTTGAAATTTGGTATTGATATTCCTCCTGCACTGTTCTTTTTGTTGAGGATCGTTTTTGCTATTCGGGGTATTTATTGTTCCATATGAATGTTTGGATTGCCTCTTCTATTACCTTGAAGAATGAGGTTGGAATATTAATAGGTATCGCATTGAATTTGTAGATAGCCTTAGGAAGTATTGCCATTTTCACTATGTTGATCCTTCCAATCCAGGAACATGAGAGGGTTTTCCACTTTCTAAGTTCTGTTTTGATTTCCTTTTTCAGGTTTTTCAAATTTTTCATCATAAAGGACCTTCCCTTCTTTGGTTACGTTAATTCCTAGGTTTTTTTATTTTTGGGGGTGGCTATTACTAATGGAGTTGCTTTCCTGATTTCAGCTATGCTTTTCTCATTGTTGGAATACAGAGAAGCTATTAATTTTTTGAGGGCTAATTTTATGCCCTTCTACTTTGCCAAAGTTTTGAAGCAGCTTGAGTAATTTGGGAGTGGAGTCCGGGGGATTCTTGCAATACAAAATCATGTCATCTGCAAAGAGGGAGAGTTTTACTTCATCTTTCCCTATTTGGATTCTTTTTATGTTTGCATCTTATCTTATTGCTGCAGCTAGGCATTCTAATACTAAATTGAAGAGAAGTGGAGAGAGAAGACATCCTTATCTCACTCCTGAGCTAAGAGGAAATGGCTTTAGTTTTCCACCATTAAGTATAATGCTGGCTGTAGGTTTGTCATATACATACTCTATTGTATTGTGGAGGACTGTTCCCTGGATTCCTAATTTTTCCAGAATCATCATCATAAAGGGGTGTTGGATCTTCTCAAATGCCTTTTCTGCACCTATTGAGATAACCATGTGGTTCTTGATGTGATGAATTATATTAACCAGGTTTGCATCCCTGAATGAATCCTGTTTGTGGTGTATGATTTTTTGCATGAATTGTTGAAGTCTATTGGTCAAATTATTTTTGAATGTGTTCGGTAGTGAAATTTCTCTTTAAATTTCATTGAAGTGTTGGAGGAGTATAGGTGTGAACTCTGCTTTGAAGGCTTTGTGGAATTCCTCTCTAAATCCATCTGGTCCTGGTCTTTTCTTAGATGGGAGATCTCTTAATGCTGTTTCTATTTCAATGCTTGATATGAGCTTTTAAAGATGGTTTAATTAATTTGGTTTACTTTCTGCATGTAGATATTTGTGAGGAAAAGGACCATTTCTGCTAAGTTCTCAAACTTGTTAGCATGAAGTTTTGAGAAGTATTCCATTACAATGTTCTGAATCTTGTTTTTTTTCTTCTGTGGTGGTTTCCATTCTCATCCCTGAGTTTATTTATTTGGGTGTGTTCTCTTCTTTTTCTGATAAAATTTGCTAAGGGTTTGTCAAATTTGTTAATTTTTTCAAAGAACCAATCCTTTGTTTTGTTGATTCTTTCTATGTTTTTTTTATTCTATTTCGTTGAATTCTGATTTAATTTAAATTATTTCTTTCTGTCTACTCAATTGGGGTTTATCTTTCTGCTCTTTTTCAAGGAGGTTTAGATGTCTTATTAAATTTTCGGTTTATTATCTCTCCAATTTGTTGATGTAGGAACTCAGTGCTATCATCTTACCTCTAAGTACTGCCTTTGTTGTGTCCCAGAGGAGCTGGTAATTTGTGTATTCATTTTTGTGGAATATAATAAACATTTGAATTTCCTTTCGAATCACTTCCATGACCCACTCGTGATTCAACAGTTTGTTGTTCAGCTTCCATGTGTTACAGACTTTCTTTAGTGGCTTTTGCTGTTGAGTACTTATTTTATTCCCTTGTGGTCTGAGAGAATGCAAGGTATAACTTCAATGTTTCTGAATTTGGACATTTGCTTTGTGACCGAAAATGTGGTCTATTTTGGAAAATGTTCTGTGTGCTGCTGAGAAAAATGTGTATTCTGATGCTGCTGGGTGAAATATTCGGTAGATGTCTGTTAAATCTAGTTAATCTATGCAGTTGTTTAGATCTGCGGTTTCTCTGTTGAGTTTTTGCAGAATTGATCTTTCTAGTGGGGATAGTGGTATGTTAAAGTCCCCAACAATTAAGTCTTTGGATCTATGTGACATTTGAGGGAAAGTAGTGTTTCTTGGATAAATTTGGGTGCTCTCTGTTGTTTGGTGAATAGATATTTGGAATTGTCATATCCTCCTGAAGGAGAGATCCCTTCATTAATATGTAGCGACGTTCTTTATCTCTTCTTACTAATTTTAATTTGAAGTCTACCTGATATTAGGATTGCAACTCCTGCCTGTTTATGGGGGCCATTTGCTTGGTAGATTTTGTTCCAGACTTTCACCTTTAAAATGTGTCTGTTTTATGGGCAAGGTGTGACTCCTGAAGGCAGCAGATAGAAGGATCTTGCTTTTTCATCCGGCTAGACAGTCTGTGTCACTGAATTGGAGAGTTAAGTCCATTAATGTTGAGAGATAGAACTGAGATGTTTGGGGGTTCCTGTCATGTTATCCATCTTCTTGGGTGCTGCGGCAACTGGGCTCTTCCTGTGGTTCTTGGATTCTCCGTTTGGGTGCAGTTTCTTGGTCTTTATTGTGGTCTTGTTGGTTTTCTAGGTGTAGGACATCTTTAAATATCTTTTGTAGGGCTTCTTTGGTGGAGATATATTGTTTCAGTTTTTCTTTGCTATGGAAGGTTTTATTTGATCTTTGGTTATGAAGCAGGGTTTAGCTGGGTACAGGATTCTTGCTTGCTAGTTGTCTGTATTTAGGGAGAGGTATAAGACATTCCAGGCTCTTCTTGCTTTAATTATCTCTGCTGAGAAATCTGAGGTGATTCTAATTGTTTTCCCTTTATATGTGATTGTTCTACTGTCCTTGACTGCTTTAACGACCTTTCCCTTGGTCTCAATTGATCCTGTGCAGATTATAATGTGACAGTGGGATGTCCTGTTCTGGTGTGGCCTACTTGGGGTTCTAAAAGCTTGTTGTATCTGAATAGGCCTATCGTTTTGCATGTTTGGGAAATTTACTATTAGGATCCTGTTAACCAAATTTTCTAGACGAGGTGCCTCTAGGTGCTCCTCTACATCCATTATGTTTAGATTAGTTCTTCTGATGGTGTCTTCCAAATGTTGAATAGATCTGTCATTTATCTTGGATTTGTCTTGGATAGGTATATGTTCTTTCTTTATAATATGTAGGCTGTCTTCAATCCCCAAGATTCAATCTTCTGCATGGTCTTAACAACTGTCAATGCTTCCTATTTTGTTTTTTATTTTTTTTCCTTGTAATTGATTGGTTTTGATGGCTTCAAATTCTTAGTTGGAGCTTTGTTTTAGATCTTGTATGAACTTGTTTACTTCCTTACTTTGGTGTTCAGTGTTTATTCTCAAATCAGTTGAATGGTTATGGTTTCCTTGGACTCCCATTCCTTCTGTTGGGCTCCATTCAGCATTCCCTTTGTGGTCTCCCTGACTTCTTTCAGCTGTCTGTTTATGGATTCCATGAATGTCTCTATTGATCTTTGTCTATTCTCATCCCACTCTTGCAATTCCTGTATTAATCCTTGATTAGCTTCCTCGTGGTCACCCAATTCCTGTAGTTTTCTTTGTTCTGAGGCTGCTCACTCAATTCCTTTATTTCTCTTTGAGTGTTCTCAACCTGCTCCTGCAATTCCTGTATTAATCTTTGAATAGTTTATTCACGCTCATAAGATTCCTCTATTGATCTTTGGTTTGCCTCCTCTTGCTCCCTATCATGCTCACACTGAGTCCTTTGCAGGTTTTCAATCTTTTCATTCATCATGTTACCAGTAGTGTTTGTGGAGCTTTTTGGGAACTCTCCTCCTGATTATTCATTATCTGTTCTGTCACCCGATTATCTTGAGTGGGATTTGAGGTACCCAGACTTGCCATTTTCCTTGTGTTTGTCTGGATTTTTCTGCCCATTTGGTAGGAAAGTA